TGCAAGGAAAGCTTTATATGCTAAAGGTTGTTACAGTTGATCATGTAAACATTGCAAAAGAGGATTCAAATTTAAAGTTATGGCATTATCGCTATGGTCATTTGGGAATGGACAATGTAAATAAGTTGATGAAAGGTGAAATGGTTCAAGGAATGGACTGTGTGATGGACGGTGAAAGTGATTCAGTTTGTGAAGGATGTATAATGGGTAAACAACATCGAACAAAGTATCCAAGTGGAGTGGCGAAGCGTGCAACAGAACCTTTCGAGTTGGTTCATAGTGATGTCAGTTAATTCCATTGGTCCGATGTCAGTTAATTCCATTGGTGGTTCTAGATATTTTGTCACATTTATTGACGATTACACGAGATACACTTATGTTTACTTTATCAAGCATAAAGATGAAGTGTTGGCAAAATTTAAAGAATTTGTTAACTTGGCAACAAACCTCACTGGTAAGAGTGTTAAAACGTTACGTACGGACAATGGTGGCGAGTATTGTTCAAAGGAATTTGAATCATTCCTTAAAGAGAAAGGAATTGTACATCAGTTAACTGTTCCCTACAATCCAGCACAGAACGGTGTGTCGGAACGAATGAATCGCACTCTAGTAGAATCGGCAAGGTCTATGATGTCACATGGGAAGACGCCAGTTGAATTCTGGGCTGAAGCCATCAATACTGCAGTATATCTGAGAAATCGTAGTCCAACTACATCCCTTAAAGAAATAACACCTTATGAATGTTTGTTTAAACAAAAGCCAGATGTTTCCAACCTTAGAGTTTTTGGCTGTGAGGCGTTCGCTCACATCCCACAAAAGCAACGCAAGAAATTTGATGAAAAGTCTCGGAAAGCTGTATTCATTGGCTATCCTGAAGGGACAAAGGGTTATAAACTTTATGATCCATCAACTCGAAAGTTTATCCGCAGTAGAGATATTGTATTCGTGGAAGGGAAATTTCATGATTTCAAAGACGGTTGTTCAGGGAAAACGTGCACCGATTTTTATATCCCAGTAGATGATGATATTCCTCAAGTAGAAATTCAAGATGTACCAGCTGTTGTTATTGAAGGTGATCATAATGAATTAGTTGATGAAGAGAATGAACGGGAAGAAGTTCATGTTCAACCAGTGGGAGCAACATGAGGAGAACTTTATGAGAGAGACTGGAAATCTAGGTGATAAGAGACAGCGTAAAGCTCCTTCTAGATTTGATGACGAATGTTATGTTGCAGTTAATCTTACAGCTGATATAAATGAACCTGTACATATTCAAGAAGCATGGACAGGAGATCATTCTGTTGAGTGGAAAGAAGCAACAGATTCTGAGTACGAATCACTCATGAAGAATGATACTTGGGAACTTGTACCACCTCCTAAAGGAAAGAACATTGTTGGAAGTCGTTGGGTGTTTAAAGTTAAACATACGGCAGACGGTTCGGTTGAAAGATTTAAGGCTCGATTAGTCGCGCAGGGATATTCGCAATCTCAAGGAATTGACTATCAAGAAATCTTTTCACCTGTGGTGCGTTATACTTCAATTAGATCCTTATTAGCTGTGGCAAATATTTGTGATTAATTGGGAGATTAGCCAAATGGATGTCAAGACAGCTTTCCTACAAGGTGAACTAGACGAAGTAATTTTTATGAAGCAACCCGAAGGTTACGTAGATCAAGAAAGGCCTGATCATGTGTGCAAGCTAAATAGAAGTATTTATGGCCTAAAACAAGCTGCACGATGTTGGAATTCTGCTATTGACACTTTCCTGATATCAAATGGGTACACAAAGTCGAATGCAGATCCATGTATATACATCAAGTCCATCAAGCGCAAGAATGGAAAGATTGACTTTGTTATACTAGCTCTGTACGTTGATGAACACAGAAATGCTGAAGAAAGAGAAAGAAGCACTAGCTAAAAGATTCCAAGTAGAAGATATGGGAGAAGTAAATTATGTTCTTGGTATGTCTGTGAAGCGAAATCGTGAAGCAAGGACACTAATTACTATTAACCAGCCAAAGTACTTGGAAGGAGTACTGAAGAGATTTGGAATGCAGGAGTGTAAAGCGCTGTTTCAACGCCATTGGAACCAGGGAGGAAATTTGAATCATTATCAGAGAATGATACACCAATTGATGTTCGAGAGTATCAGATGGCAATAGGTTGTTTAACGTATGCACCCAGGTTGAAGATCTTGGCAAGATCTTGTAAGATCTTGCATGATCTTGGAAGATCATGGCAAGGTCTTGGCAAGACACTAATCTTGGCAAGATCTTGCCAAGATATTGCCAATATCTTGCCAAGATTATTCAATCTTGCCATACTTGCCAAAATCTTGCCAAGATTGTCTGAAATTCTTGTCAAGATCTTGCCAAGATCTTTCATGATTTTTCGTCATACATAATTCTTGCTGAGTTGTATTTTTCGACCTTCATAAGTATAGGTATAATGAACCTTGATCAAACCAATCGCATATATCACAACATTGCCAATACTCTATCATGATCTTGCCATGATCTTGGAAGATCTTGTCAAGATCCCACCATGATCTTGCCAAGATCCCACCATGGTCCTTGCCAAGATCTTATCACAATCTTGCCAAGATTCTATCATAATCTTGCCATGATCTTGCACAATCTTGGCAAGATTCCACCATGATCTTACCAAGATCATATCAAAATCTTGCCAAGATCCTATTGTAATCTTGCCATGATCTTGGAAGATCTTGTCAAGATCCCACCATGATCTTGCCATGATCCCACCATGATTCTTGCTAAGATCTTATCACAATCTTGCCAAGATTCTATCATAATCTTGCCATGATCTTGGACAACCTTGCCAAGATTCCACCATGATCTTGCCAAGATCTTGTCAAAATCTTGTCAATATCCTATCATGATCTTGCCATGATCTTGGAAGATCTTGTCAAGATCCCACGATGATCTTGCTAAGATCCCACCATGGTCCTTGCTAAGATCTTATCACAATCTTGCCAAGATTCTATCATAATCTTGCCATGATCTTGCACAATCTTGGCAAGATTCCACCATGATCTTACCAAGATCATATCAAAATCTTGTCAAGATCCTATTGTAATCTTGCCATGATCTTGGAGGATCTTGGCAAGACTCCACCATGATCTTACCAAGATCCTACCATGATCCTTTCTAAGATCTTATCACAATCTTGCCAAGATTCTATCATAATCTTGCCATGATCTTGGACAATCTTGCCAAGATTCCACCATGATCTTGCCAAGATCTTATCAAAAATCTTGCCAAGATCCTACCATAATGTTGCCATGGTCTTGAAAATCTTGACAAGATCTCACCATGATCTTGCCAAGTTCTCAGCATGATCTTGCCAATATCTTACCAAAATCTTGCCAAGATCTTATTGTAATCTTGCCATGATCTTGGAGGATCTTTTCAAGATCCCATCATGATCCTTGCTAAGATCTTATCACAATCTTGCCAAGATTCTATTATAATATTGCCATGGTCTTGGAAGATCTTGTCAAGATCTCACCATGATCCCAGCATGATCTTGCCAAGATCTTATCTATCTTGATCTTGGAAGTTCTTGACACAATCTCTTGTCATGATTTTACCATGATCATACCAAAAATGCCATGATTTTGAAAGATCCTTTTGAAAGGAGGCTTTTACGCGCACAGTTGCTCTCGCATCTTTGCGTGCCAGATCCAAATGACTGAAATGAGATCAATTAATCAATATCTGTAAATCTTGTTATCTGCGCATTTTTCGCATATTTGTGGTAGACAACCGTTGGTAAAAGCCCCAAGGCGCGTTTTATAAGTCAAACATACAAGGTACACGGCAGTTTATACTTCTGTTCTTCGACTTTGTTGCTGCACTAAAGAAGAAAGGATAACTTGTCGAGCTGTCTTAAATAAAAAGTAAGTGCTTACAACCTATTTTGTAACACATTATTTGTATATTGAATGAATGAGCGCTAAGCAGTTTGATTACCACATGTAATAAATGTTTCAAGCTTTTTCAAATAACCTTACAAAAGGCTAAGTTAATCGGCTAAAGCGATGCAATGCTTGCTTTAATTTCGACTTTAAATAATTTTAATAACACCTCATCATTGGTCGCAATAAGCTTTTACGTGATAATGCCTAGTTTAACGTTTTGTTAAGAATGACAAAGCCGTTGAGAAAACCCCTGGGACCACAAATTATTATATTCACACAGTCTTATATTTATTACACAGCTTTTGCGCAGCTTGCGCTACTGAAATGTCCTGATAACCGTAGTTTTGACAGATCCGGTGCCAAACATCGTAAATGCAGTGCATAGGAACACGCAATTTCACACTACGGTATAAATGTGAGCTTCATTAGTGAGTTAAGTTTCATTATGCCAACCAGTGAAGCTAGGATAAAATATAGAGATCTTTCATATAAAATTAATGGTTTGAGCTATGATTATTCAACATGTGTATTATTCAACATGTGTATTATTCAAAATTTGTTATTTCAAATATTATTTAGGAAAACATGGTGAAGGCATCCCCAAATGATAAAGCTATGGCCAAAAAAGAAACTACAGAGATCGAGATTGTAAGTATGAGTGTATACATGTGTAATTTATCGTTTTTACTTAAAAAGAATTCAACTACAGTGATTTAATATCAAGTATTGTTAATTCATTTTAGTGGCACAATGACATTTAATTTGATGACCGTAAATGCACCGCCAAAAGAGCCATCAAAATGTGCAATCAAATTATTGGACTTCCTATTTTCATCGGTAGAGCTCCAGGATGGAATACTATTCCAGTCGAAAAGATCTCCAAAACCAGCACTAGATCCCAACAGGGTCACTAAATTGTTTGGTAAGAATAATATATGTGATTTGACTTGAACTTTGGCCAGCTGTGAACAGATATATACAAACTTAAGACTAAGTTGCCACAGTATGTGTTGATTAAAAGTAGTAGTTTTCTTTGCCAATGGCAATGTGTTTCGGGTAAACATTGAAATGAACTTAAATACAAAAAATAGACTTACTTTAACACAGTCTTTTTTACGATATAGCTGTCCTCAACGCCAAGTATGGCGAAGAAAAAGTACAGAGAACAGTAAACACGCCAAATTATCGTGGATACGTGCAATCAAAATTCAAAAGTGCCGCGATATGCGAAGAAAAACAAAATCGAAGAACTTGCAATAACAATGGTGTCAATGCTAATATAATTCATGAAGTAAAGTATGAAACAACCTCCGAATAAAAGTTCCATCTTGAAACTCAATTCTTTAGAACAACATTATTAAGAACAGACAAGATTCCCTTTGTTTTCTCTCAAATATTGAGCAAGGTCTTGCATGATCTTGCAAGATCTTTCCAAGTTCTTGCAGGATCTTACCTAAGATCTTGCAGGATCTTGCAAGATCTTTCCATGTTCTTGCAGGATCTTACCTAAGATCTTGCAAGATCTTGCCATTATCATGGCAAGATCTTGCCATTATCATGGCAAGATCTTGCAGGATTTGTACCAAGATCATGCCAAGATCTTACATAAATCCTGCAAGATCATGGAAAGATCTTGCAAGATCTTTCCAAGTTCTTGCAGGATCTTACCTAAGATCTTGCAGGATCTTGCAAGATTCCCTTTGTTTTCTCTCAAATATTGAGCAAGATCTTGCATGATCTTGCAAGATCTTTCCAAGTTCTTGCAGGATCTTACCTAAGATCTTGCAGGATCTTGCAAGATCTTTCCATGTTCTTGCAGGATCCTACCTAAGATCTTGCAAGATCTTGCCATTATCATGGCAAGATCTTGCCATTATCATGGCAAGATCTTGCAGGATTTGTACCAAGATCATGCCAAGATCTTACATAAATCCTGCAAGATCATGGAAAGATCTTGCAAGATCTTTCCAAGTTCTTGCAGGATCTTACCTAAGATCTTGCAGGATCTTGCAAGATTCCCTTTGTTTTCTCTCAAATATTGAGCAAGATCTTGCATGATCTTGCAAGATCTTTCCAAGTTCTTGCAGGATCTTACCTAAGATCTTGCAGGATCTTGCAAGATCTTTCCATGTTCTTGCAGGATCTTACCTAAGATCTTGCAAGATCTTGCCATTATCATGGCAAGATCTTGCCATTATCATGGCAAGATCTTGCAGGATTTGTACCAAGATCATGCCAAGATCTTACATAAATCCTGCAAGATCATGGAAAGATCTTGCAAGATCTTTCCAAGTTCTTGCAGGATCTTACCTAAGATCTTGCAGGATCTTGCAAGATCTTGCTATTATCATGGCAAGATCTTGTCATGATCATGGTAAGATCTTGCAAGATCCTGCAAGATCTTAGGTAAGATCCTGCAAGAACTTGGAAAGATCTTGCAAGATCATGCAAGATCTTTCCATGATCTTGCAGGATTTATGTAAGATCTTGGCATGATCTTGGTAAGATCTTGGGTAAGATCTTGTCAAGATCTTGCTGGGATCTTGGCAAGATTGTCAACCTGGGAACGTAATAACAAATTATAATTTAGGTTTTGGAAATCAGTGGGTTTTTATCAGGAAGCAGTGCGCGCTAACACTCTCTTACAACATTTCGACGGCCATTTTTAAACACCAAATTAAACAAAGTATAGAAATAAAATAACACTCGAAATAAAGTTTTTGGTTACTTAAATCTTATCTTTAAGTTTCTTATAATAGCTAAAAGTAACAAAAACATATAAATTTTACACAAGTAATATTTTATAAAGCAATAGTTTCAGCATACCTTCTGATGGGTCATATACGCGTAGCCATATTTGTTTACAATTAGAACGTCTTACCCCCCGCGAAGCCCGCATCACGGATGGGCAG